AGGAGGAGACAGAGGACCCAGACGCACCGTGGCAGTATGCTGTGGAGATGGAGGCAGGGAGTCCCTCGCATTCCTTGGCACAAATGGCCCATAGCATGCTCGGTTGCTTGCGTAGCGACAGCCGAATAATAACCATCAGACAGAGGGATGACTTTTGGCTGTCCACCTTGTTGGACCCTCGCTACCGTTCAAAAATGGTGGCCTTTTTCACACCTGCTGAGAGGGAGGCCAAAATAACGTACTATAAAAACCACCTATGTAGTCAGTTGGTCTCTGCCTTTCTGCGCCAACGTCCATCCTCAGACACTGTGGGCCCTGTGCGCTCGCGTTCCGCTGCCATGGCAGCAGGGGAGGGGTGGGGGTGGTAGGAGCAGTGGCAGCTCCACCAGCAGCGGCTGCCTCAGTCTGCAGTCGATGATGAGTAGCTTTCTTCACCAGCGCAGTGAGGAAAACTACTAACCAGCCGCAGCAGCAGCAGCAGCATCAGGTGGACCTGGAGCAGGACCTCAAACAACAGGCTTGGGCCTACTTGGACAGCACCCTGCCAACCGAGGTAGACAATCCCCTTGACTACTGGGCAACGAAACTTGACCTTTGGCCCCAACTAGCTGAATTTGCCCTTGAAAGGCTGTCATGCCCGGCCAGTAGCGTGGCATCGGAGCGCGTGTTTAGTGCGGCAGGAGGTATTGTAACTCCGCGGAGGACACGACTGTCCACCCAAAGTGTGGAGAGACTCACGTTTGTGAAAATGAATCAGGCGTGGATTAGTCTGGATTTCAAACCACCAGTTCCTGACACAACTGACTAAATCCGCCATGAATCATGCCCCAAACATGTGCCACTTTCAGGTCTCCTCACACTGCTGGTGTGTTCCATTTTTTGTCATAGGGTGCTGGCAGATTACGGGCCTCCCATTGCTGCTGCCAGGCCCCTAAATGCCATGGGCCCCTGTGTACCGCCTCCTCATGCTGCTGCCAGGTCCAGAGTCATGGTGTCTCATGGGTCCCTGTACGGCCTCCCATTGCTGCTGTCTCCATCGCCACACTCTGCCATGTGCCACTTCAGGTCTCCACACACACTGCTGGTGTGTTCCATTTTTTTGTCATAGGGTGCTGGCAGATTACGGGCCTCCCATTGCTGCTGCCAGGCCCCTAATCTGCCATGGGCCCCTGTACCGCCTCCTCATGCTGCTGCCAGGTCCAGAGTCTCTCATGGGTCCCTGTACGGCCTCCCATTGCTGCTGTCTCCATCGCCACACTCTGCCATGTGCCACTTTCAGGTCTCCTCACACTGCTGGTGTGTTCCATTTTTTGTCATAGGGTGCTGGCAGATTACGGGCCTCCCATTGCTGCTGCCAGGCCCCTAATCTGCCATGGGCCCCTGTACCGCCTCCTCATGCTGCTGCCAGGTCCAGAGTCTCTCATGGGTCCCTGTACGGCCTCCCATTGCTGCTGTCTCCATCGCCACACTCTGCCATGTGCCACTTTCAGGTCTCCTCACACTGCTGGTGTGTTCCATTTTTTGTCATAGGGTGCTGGCAGATTACGGGCCTCCCATTGCTGCTGCCAGGCCCCTAATCTGCCATGGGCCCCTGTACCGCCTCCTCATGCTGCTGCTGCCAGGTCCCAGTCTCTCATGGGTCCCTGTACGGCCTCCCATTGCTGCTGTCTCCATCGCCACACTCTGCCATGTGCCACTTTCAGGTCTCCTCACACTGCTGGTGTGTTCCATTTTTTGTCATAGGGTGCTGGCAGATTACGGGCCTCCCATTGCTGCTGCCAGGCCCCTAATCTGCCATGGGCCCCTGTACCGCCTCCTCATGCTGCTGCCAGGTCCAGAGTCTCTCATGGGTCCCTGTACGGCCTCCCATTGCTGCTGTCTCCATCGCCACACTCTGCCATGTGCCACTTTCAGGTCTCCTCACACACTGCTGGTGTGTTCCATTTTTTGTCATAGGGTGCTGGCAGATTACGGGCCTCCCATAGCTGCTGCCAGGCCCCTAATCTGCCATGGGCCCCTGTACCGCCTCCTCATGCTGCTGCCAGGTCCAGAGTGTCTCATGGGTCCCACGGCCTCCCATTGCTGCTGTCTCCATCGCCACACTCTGCCATGTGCCACTTTCAGGTCTCCTCACACTGCTGGTGTGTTCCATTTTTTGTCATAGCTGCTGCCATGTGCTGGCAGATTACGGGCCTCCCATTGCTGCTGCCAGGCCCCTAATCTGCCATGGGCCCCTGTACCGCCTCCTCATGCTGCTGCCAGGTCCAGAGTCTCTCATGGGTCCCTGTACGGCCTCCCATTGCTGCTGTCTCCATCGCCACACTCTGCCATGTGCCACTTTCAGGTCTCCTCACACACTGCTGGTGTGTTCCATTTTTTGTCATAGGGTGCTGGCAGATTACGGGCCTCCCATGCTGCTGCTGCCAGGCCCCTAATCTGCCATGGGCCCCTGTACCGCCTCCTCATGCTGCTGCCAGGTCCAGAGTCTCTCATGGGTCCCTGTACGGCCTCCCATTGCTGCTGTGTCTCCATCGCCACACTCTGCCATGTGCCACTTTCAGGTCTCCTCACACACTGCTGGTGTGTTCCATTTTTTGTCATAGGGTGCTGGCAGATTACGGGCCTCCCATTGCTGCTGCCAGGCCCCTAATCTGCCATGGGCCCGTACCGCCTCCTCATGCTGCTGCCAGGTCCAGAGTCTCTCTCATGGGTCCCTGTACGGCCTCCCATTGCTGCTGTCTCCATCGCCACACTCTGCCATGTGCCACTTTCAGGTCTCTCACACACTGCTGGTGTGTTCCATTTTTTGTCATAGGGTGCTGGCAGATTACGGGCCTCCCATAGCTGCTGCCAGGCCCCTAATCTGCCATGGGCCCCTGTACCGCCTCCTCATGCTGCTGCCAGGTCCAGAGTCTCTCATGGGTCCCACGGCCTCCCATTGCTGCTGTCTCCATCGCCACACTCTGCCATGTGCCACTTTCAGGTCTCCTCACACACTGCTGGTGTGTTCCATTTTTTGTCATAGGGTGCTGGCAGATTACGGGCCTCCCATTGCTGCTGCCAGGCCCCTAATCTGCCATGGGCCCCTGTACCGCCTCCTCATGCTGCTGCCAGGTCCACAGTGTCTCATGGGTCCCTGTACGGCCTCCCATTGCTGCTGTCTCCATCGCCACACTCTGCCATGTGCCACTTTCAGGTCTCCTCACACTGCTGGTGTGTTCCATTTTTTGTCATAGGGTGCTGGCAGATTACGGGCCTCCCATTGCTGCTGCCAGGCCCCTAATCTGCCATGGGCCCCTGTACCGCCTCCTCCTCATGCTGCTGCCAGGTCCAGAGTCTCTCATGGGTCCCTGTACGGCCTCCCATTGCTGCTGTCTCCATCGCCACACTCTGCCATGTGCACACTTTCAGGTCTCCTCACACTGCTGGTGTGTTCCATTTTTTGTCATAGGGTGCTGGCAGATTACGGGCCTCCCATAGCTGCTGCCAGGCCCCTAATCTGCCATGGGCCCCTGTACCCGCCTCCTCATGCTGCTGCCAGGTCCAGAGTCTCTCATGGGTCCCTGTACGGCCTCCCATTGCTGCTGCTGTCTCCATCGCCACACTCTGCCATGTGCCACTTTCAGGTCTCCTCACACACTGCTGGTGTGTTCCATTTTTTGTCATAGGGTGCTGGCAGATTACGGGCCTCCCATAGCTGCTGCCAGGCCCCTAATCTGCCATGGGCCCCTGTACCGCCTCCTCATGCTGCTGCCAGGTCCAGAGTCTCTCATGGGTCCCTGTACGGCCTCCCATTGCTGCTGTCTCCATCGCCACACTCTGCCATGTGCCACTTTCAGGTCTCCTCACACACTGCTGGTGTGTTCCATTTTTTGTCATAGGGTGCTGGCAGATTACGGGCCTCCCATTGCTGCTGCCAGGCCCCTAATCTGCCATGGGCCCCTGTACCGCCTCCTCATGCTGCTGCCAGGTCCTCAGTCTCTGCTGTCCCTGTACGGCCTCCCATTGCTGCTGTCTCATGCACACTCTGCCATGTGCCACTTTCAGGTCTCCTCACACTGCTGGTGTGTTCCATTTTTTGTCATAGGGTGCTGGCAGATTACGGGCCTCCCATAGCTGCTGCTGCCAGGCCCCTAATCTGCCATGGGCCCCTGTACCGCCTCCTCATGCTGCTGCCAGGTCCCAGAGTCTCATGGGTCCCTGTACGGCCTCCCCATTGCTGCTGTCTCCATCGCCACACTCTGCCATGTGCCACTTTCAGGTCTCCTCACACACTGCTGGTGTGTTCCATTTTTTGTCATAGGGTGCTGGCAGATTACGGGCCTCCCATAGCTGCTGCCAGGCCCCTAATCTGCCATGGGCCCCTGTACCGCCTCCTCATGCTGCTGCCTGCTGTGCCAGGTCCAGAGTCTCTCATGGGTCCCTGTACGGCCTCCCATTGCTGCTGTCTCCATCGCCACACTCTGCCATGTGCCACTTTCAGGTCTCCTCACACACTGCTGGTGTGTTCCATTTTTTGTCATAGGGTGCTGGCAGATTACGGGCCTCCCATAGCTGCTGCCAGGCCCCTAATCTGCCATGGGCCCCTGTACCGCCTCCTCATGCTGCTGCCAGGTCCAGAGTCCTCTCATGGGTCCCTGTACGGCCTCCCATTGCTGCTGTCTCCATCGCCACACTCTGCCATGCCACTTTCAGGTCTCCTCACACACTGCTGGTGTGTTCCATTTTTTGTCATAGGGTGCTGGCAGATTACGGGCCTCCCATTGCTGCTGCCAGGCCCTAATCTGCCATGGGCCCCTGTACCGCCTCCTCATGCTGCTGCCAGGTCCAGAGTCTCTCATGGGTCCCTGTACGGCCTCCCATTGCTGCTGTCTCCATCGCCACACTCTGCCATGTGCCACTTTCAGGTCTCCTCACACTGCTGGTGTGTTCCATTTTTTGTCATAGGGTGCTGGCAGATTACGGGCCTCCCATTGCTGCTGCCAGGCCCCTAATCTGCCATGGGCCCCTGTACCGCCTCCTCATGCTGCTGCCAGGTCCAGAGTGCTCATGGGTCCCTGTACGGCCTCCCATTGCTGCTGTCTCCATCGCCACACTCCATGTGCCACTTTCAGGTCTCCTCACACTGCTGGTGTGTTCCATTTTTTGTCATAGGGTGCTGGCAGATTACGGGCCTCCCATTGCTGCTGCCAGGCCCCTAATCTGCCATGGGGCCCTGTACCGCCTCCTCATGCTGCTGCCAGGTCCAGAGTCTCTCATGGGTCCCTGTACGGCCTCCCATTGCTGCTGTCTCCATCGCCACACTCTGCCATGTGCACTTTCAGGTCTCCTCACACACTGCTGGTGTGTTCCATTTTTTGTCATAGGGTGCTGGCAGATTACGGGCCTCCCATAGCTGCTGCCAGGCCCCTAATCTGCCATGGGCCCCTGTACCGCCTCCTCATGCTGCTGCCAGGTCCAGGTCTCTCCCACGGCCTCCCATTGTGCTGTCTCCATGCTGCCATGTGCCACTTTCAGGTCTCCTCACACTGCTGGTGTGTTCCATTTTTTTGTCATAGGGTGCTGGCAGATTACGGGCCTCCCATAGCTGCTGCCAGGCCCCTAATCTGCCATGGGCCCCTGTACCGCCTCCTCATGCTGCTGCCAGGTCCACAGAGTCTCATGGGTCCCTGTACGGCCTCCCATTGCTGCTGTCTCCATCGCCACACTCTGCCATGTGCCACTTTCAGGTCTCCTCACACACTGCTGGTGTGTTCCATTTTTTGTCATAGGGTGCTGGCAGATTACGGGCCTCCCATTGCTGCTGCCAGGCCCCTAATCTGCCATGGGCCCCGTACCGCCTCCTCATGCTGCTGCCAGGTCCAGAGTCTCTCATGGGTCCCCTGTACGGCCTCCCATTGCTGCTGTCTCCATCGCCCACTCTGCCATGTGCCACTTTCAGGTCTCCTCACACTGCTGGTGTGTTCCATTTTTTTGTCATAGGTGCTGGCAGCAGATTACGGGCCTCCCATTGCTGCTGCCAGGCCCCTAATCTGCCATGGGCCCCTGTACCGCCTCCTCATGCTGCTGCCAGGTCCAGAGTGTCTCATGGGTCCCTGTACGGCCTCCCATTGCTGCTGTCTCCATCGCCACACTCTGCCATGTGCCACTTTCAGGTCTCCTCACACACTGCTGGTGTGTTCCATTTTTTGTCATAGGGTGCTGGCAGATTACGGGCCTCCCATTGCTGCTGCCAGGCCCCTAATCTGCCATGGGCCCCTGTACCGCCTCCTCATGCTGCTGCCAGGTCCACAGTGTGTCATGCCATGTGCCACTTTCAGGTCTCCTCACACTGCTGGTGTGTTCCATTTTGTCATAGGGTGCTGGCAGATTACGGGCCTCCCATTGCTGCTGCCAGGCCCCTAATCTGCCATGGGCCCCTGTACCGCCTCCTCATGCTGCTGCCAGGTCCACAGTGTCTCTCATGGGTCCCTGTACGGCCTCCCATTGCTGCTGTCTCCATCGCCACACTCTGCCATGTGCCACTTTCAGGTCTCCTCACACACTGCTGGTGTGTTCCATTTTTTGTCATAGGGTGCTGGCAGATTACGGGCCTCCCATTGCTGCTGCCAGGCCCCTAATCTGCCATGGGCCCCTGTACCGCCTCCTCATGCTGCTGCCAGGTCCACAGTGTGTCTCATGCCATGTGCCACTTTCAGGTCTCCTCACACTGCTGGTGTGTTCCATTTTGTCATAGAGTGCTGGCAGACCTCCCATTGCTGCTGTCTCCATCGCCACACTCTGCCATGTGCCACTTTCAGGTCTCCTCACACTGCTGGTGTGTTCCATTTTTTGTCATAGGGTGCTGGCAGATTACGGGCCTCCCATTGCTGCTGCCAGGCCCTAATCTGCCATGGGCCCCTGTACCGCCTCCTCCTCCCCATTGCTGCTGCCAGGAGGCAGCAGGGGTCGCAGCAGTGTCAGTGGAGGCAAACGGCCACGGAGTAGAGCACCAGCTCCTCTGCAGCCTACCACCATGGCCAGTAGTGGTGCCGGTGTGCACAGAGGAAGTAGCAGTCAGCCAGTGAGGAGTAGCGGGGGCAAAGTTTCCTACTCGGCGGTGTGGCAATTTTTCGTCAAGCCGCCCGAGGAAGTAAACGTAGCCGTATGTTGACTATGTGGCCAGAAAGTCAAGCGTGGGCCAGGGGCCCATGTTGGGACTACAGCGTTGCGTCAGCATATGCAGCGTCGCCATTCGGTGGCCTGGGAAAACCGTGATAAAGATACGGCGGTTCTGCCTGCCCCAGCCCAGGGTTCCATTTTGTCATAGGGTGCTGGCAGATTACGGGCCTCCCATTGCTGCTGCCAGGCCTTAATCTGCCATGGGCCCCTGTACCGCGCCTCCTCATGCTGCTGCCAGGTCCACAGTGTCTCATGGGTCCCTGTACCGCCTCCCATTGCTGCTGTCTCCATCGCCACACTCTGCCATGTGCCACTTTCAGGTCTCCTCACACTGCTGGTGGGTTTCCATTTTGTCATAGGGTGCTGTATGGCCTCCCATTGCTGCTGACAGGCCCGTAATCTGCCATGGGCCCCCGTACCGACTCCTCATGCTGCTGCCAGGCCCGTAATCTGTCATGGGCCCCTGTTGTCGCTTGTTGGCATATTCCGCTCGTTCAGATGCTCCTTCTCCTGCTACTCCTCTTCACGGATTCCGTCAGCAGTCTTTCTTGGAATCCGTTTCCAAGAGACAACAGTTTGCGAGTACGCACCCGACGGTGCAGAAGCTGAACGTCCTCCTGTCCAAGTTGCTGCTGCCAGGCTCGTAATCTGTCATGCGCCCCTGTACCGCCTCCTCATGCTGCTGCCAGGTCCAGAGTGTGTCATGGGCCCCCGTACCGACTCCTCATGCTGCTGCCAGGCCCGTAATCTGTCATGGGCCCCTTTACCGCCTCCTCATGCTGCTGCCAGGTCCAGAGTGTGTCATGGTCCCTGTACGGCCTCCCATTGCTGCTGCCAGGCCCCCTAATCTGCCATGGGCCCCCGTACCGCCTCCTCATGCTGCTGCCAGGTCCAGAGTGTCTCATGGTCCCTGTACGGCCTCCCATTGCTGCTGTCTCCATCGCCACACTCTGCCATGTGCCACTTTCAGGTCTCCTCACACTGCTGGTGGGTTCCATTTTGTCATAGGGTGCTGTATGGCCTCCCATTGCTGCTGCTGCCTCCACCGCCACACTGTGGCTCCACACTCTGGTTTTGGCCCCGTGACTGCCCAAATGAGTGAAGTGTGCGGTGATTCTAAGATCGACGGCACTCATCTGCATGTCATACTGACTGATAGTATTATTTCTCTTCCCCAGCAGACTCCAAGGGCATTTAAATTAAAGGTACAGTGTTCTGCACTAATATAAAGGCTCTCTGAAGCCTAGAAACACCCTTTTATAAGTTAAATTCGCAGCGAATATATTCGACTCGAATCAAAATTTTTTCACGAATTCGCCGAATCAGTCGAATCGAATTTTTGAATAATTCGCTCACCATGTAATCACCATGGTGGATTTCACTGGGATGTTCTGGTGTCCTCAACAATAGGTTATCTAGGAAGGATGAAATTTCCTGCATTCCCATTTATGTATGGAGGGATTAGATAGCTAGGTTGCTGGTTTTGGGCCCTGGGGCTTATATATGTTGCATTACTGGCTTAAAATACATATAGTAGCTGATAAGTGGCAAATTGCCAGCACTGGAATTTTGCAACATATATAATCTTATTTTGACATTCTGACGTTCAATTAGTTACATTGTTTTTAATGCATTTTTGTGTGATGCACACTGGGTTATTGAGCACTGTTTGTTTATGAATTATATGGAATTGTACATTTTATCTTTTGATACTAATAAAATGCTTTTTGATAATAATAATATACTTTTGATAGAAGCCTAGTTTGCAATTTGAGTAATCGTTGGCCCATCCAGGGGGTTTTACCCCATGGTTTGGATTTGCTTTTTTCTGTCAAGAGGAGAGAGAGAGGGAGAGGAGAGCACTTAACAATGGGTGGTAAAGCCTGTAGTGGTGACATCACCCATGGGTTTCCATGTTCCATCTGTTGTTGGCACTCCCTCCTCTCCCCTGCATACATCACTGGCTCACACGGGATAATATAACTGGACTGAAGCAGCCTGAAAATAGGTGTATACATCTTTTCTACACAGGTTACCCAGAATAGGCATTAGGGGGGGGGAGAATTTTTAAGGCTAGTTAGGGTTAAACTGGAACTTCTGCTTGAATCCCTCCTCATTGGTGGACACCGGTGGAGTTAATTAACTCCTTTGTGCTGCATTAGTGGCCACTGACTGTGTTTTTTAACCCCTTCATAAAGGGGTTAAATAACATTGACATTGGTGCCCCTAATGCAGCAAAACAGGATTAAATAACTGTCACTGGTCACTAATGCATCAGTGACCAGTGGCAGAACATTAACCCCTTCTAGCTGCTCTTTACGGACTAACCACATTGTTTATGAATTAACCTCTTTGCCCCAGTGAACCAGTCCAGTTCACAGAAAAGAGAGTTGGGGTCAGAGTGAGAAAGGCAGTGGGATGAGAGAGAGAGAGAGAGAGAGAGAGAGGGGGGGGTGGTGGTGGTGAGAGAGAAATAGAAAGGAGGGGTGAGAGACAGAAAGGGGGTTAGGGGGGAAAGAGAGAGAGAGTGGGTGAGGGAGAGGGGGTAATAAAGAAAAGGGGGGGTGGTGGGGTGAGAGAAATAGAGGAGGGTGAGTGAAATAGAGGGGGTGAGAGAGAGAAGGAGATTGAGATTGAGAGAGGAGGTGATAGAGTGGGGGTAGGATAGGGGGCATGAGAGATGGGGGGTGATAGCGAAATAGAGGGATGAGAGAGAGAAGGGGGGTGATAAAGAGAGGGGGGTGAGAGAGAGGGGGGAGAGGGGTGGGAGAGAGAAGGAAGTTGAGAGAAATAGAGGGGGAGAGAGAGAGAGAAAGAGAGAGGGGGGGAAGAGAGAGGGGGTTGAGAGAGAGAGAAAGGGGAGTGAGAGACAGGGGGGGTGAGAGAGAGAGCTGGTAAGAGAGAGGGGGTTGATAGCTACAGAATAACTACAGAAGCCCTAAGTGTAAAATACTGTGAATGGATCAGATTGTAGTAATCTCAATGACGGTAGTGCTCACACTCCACTCAGTGTGCCACCAAAGTAGTGCCCCCATCAGGGAAGCAACCCACTTTCAATAATTATGCCAAAAATTGCTTTTAGTAGTAATCCCAATTCTTTCACTATACCAGGGGTGGACTGACAACTCATGGGGCCCCCAGGCAATAGGGCATCATGGGGCCCCTGTGTCCTTAACCAAACTAAAAAAAGCCTATGAAAAAGGTACCAGGGGCATCTCATGGGGCCCCCTACTGACCCCGGGCCCTCGGGCAGTGCCCGAGTTTCCAAATGGTCAGTCCGCCCCTGTACTATACATACTCAGAGATCTGTGATCATCCAGGCTTCAGATAGCACCAGGATTAAAAAAGCAAAATTGGCTCCTATGTTCTCCTACTCAACACATTTATTTACCATTGACTTACTTAAGAATAGGACCAACCGTATCTCCTGAAATAAATACATTCCGCTCAATGAAATAAAACTTCTGTTCTAAGGAGGGGCGATGTGGATGCTAAAGCATAAGGTTTTCTATCCAAATTATTTTTTTTGTTATTATTACTTTGCTGTGATGACCACATGGAGGCCAAACATGTTAAATCTCACAAATATTTTCTGATTGCCAAAGCAGATATTACTCCCTTCCTGAAAAAGATGAAGAGTTTTATGAGAATAAACCATCTAACTTTGCCTAAACAATTCAGTGCTTGTGGCAGAATGTCCTTTTTGGTTGTGGAAAAGGTAAGAACAAAAACATTTTATGTATTTATGCAGCTCTTTGTGTAATGCCTACTTGTGTTTAGGCATCTACTGAATAGCTTACTGTTTTGTAAATGCTTTATTATTCGTTATAAAATGTTGCATCTTGTTCTGTTAAGTCATACTGACCATTTTCATTTACCTATTGGTATTACCTATTCTAATTTGAAAAATTATGATACCACAGGGAATACACCAGTGCAAAATTAGCCAGCTAAAATTAGACTGTTTTAATCAGGGATAACAGGCCTAACTGATGTATGCCTATTTATTTTTATTCATGTGAATAAAGGAGCGCAATGAATGTGAGGTGTTAGTGCACACTGTTTTTGCACTTCATTTTTTTCTTACATGCGTAAACAAAATAAGGTCTTCAATGGACTGTCAGCAGCAGCTGTTTGATTGATGTGCTCTAATCACCCTGGGCTAAAAGTTATCTTCCAAAATACAAAGAGAAAAGATCATATTTAATAGAAAAAGTAGCTCAGCTATTGACAATTCAAGCAGTAACTAGGGACAGATATTGGTCCTCAAAATGATTTTGGAGTGTACAAATCTGTGCATGCAGACAGGGCACATGATAATATGTATTTTAAATATAAACTCTGTGCAATCAAATATTAGTACAATTGTGAACTCATGTGATTAAATTAAAAAAAAAATCATATATATACAATTCATATAAATAGAATTCAATACATGTGAATACAATTCCAAAAATTGCATAAAATAAGAAAAAAGTGATAATGTCCACACACAATATTAGTGTATAAAAGTCCACTAAAATCTTCTTCCAGTTTCAGTGTAATCCATATAAATATATAAATTCCCCCAGTGCAGCTATTTGTGTTCAGTCACCACCAGAAAATAATGTGTCTTCAACCACCTTCCAATCAGGCTGCTTACCTCAGGATTTTTGAAGGTCAAAATGCACCTTGCCCTTTAAGAGGGCTATATCTCCATGCAGTTATGTTTGTATCCTGTCTTCACAAAGATCATCTTTCCTCCATACATGCACTCAAAAGAATAAAACAAACTTCATTGTGCAACAAGTAAAACTCTGTTATATTGTTTATAAAAAGGGTTACAATTACACTCACAAAATAGGTGCACTATATCCAGTGCACAATTTCCCCCTTAAGGCTGGATTTTGGCTTCAGATTCCTCACCAAAGATGGCCGACTTCCGGTTCTTGTGTACGTGATGATGTGCTTTATCATCCATTCTTAACTTTAATCACATGAGTTCACAATTGCACTAATATTTGATTGAGCGGAGTTTAATTTTAATATAAGTTTTCGGTATGGGAACACATGACAACAGCTGCGGCAATCAATTTGAGTTTATATTTTTTTATTATTTAATATATATATTTTTGTTTTGGTGGTAGTTTTTGATTCACTGTTTTTAACATAATAATGTACCTCAGAAATGCAATTTAAAGAACCCAAGCACAATTTTATTAAAACAGACGTAAGTCCAACCACTGAAATGTCATATACTGTTTGCTTTAACAGCTGGTGGTATTGATTTAAAGGTCCATGTTTAGGCACTTTGTATTGTACCAAAGTTGGGTTACAGTGCTCTGCCATTTCTACCACAATCTCCTTGCAAATCACCTGTCACATACTTTCCCATAGGAACAAAAAAGCTTCTGTGTTTGTAAGATAGGGTTCGATACTGGCTCTATATTGTTACCCTTTTTTTTAATGTTCAGAGTGGATAGTTTAAACCTCTTGCCAACTGTGTAACGCATATACACAGAGGTAAAAAACGTGGGCTTTATAGCTGCCACACATATGAATCCATGATTGTAGGAGGTTGTGTGCTGGGAGTGAGCTGTCTTCCGCAGCTCTCTGTAAAAGCTTCTGATTGGGAGTCAGCAAGACAGGCTCCTATTCAGTTAACAGCTGTGAGAGACAATCATAACAGTCACATGATACAGAAGCCGCACAGCCTCCTGTGCATTAAAACCCCAAAAGGGCCACTGGGAGACAGCATTAAGAGGTTAAACCTGTGTCTGTTAGTTGCTTTCCTTGTAGACAATGTCAACAAAGTGAACAGGTGATTTCCGCTTTGACGTTGGTAAGACCAGGGGCGGACTGACCATTTGGAAACCCGGGCACTGCCCGAGGGCCCAGGGTCAGTAGGGGGCCCCATGAGATGCCCCCTAGTATTTTCATAGGATTTTTTTTAGTTTGGGCAAGGACACAGAGGCCCCATGATCCCCTATTGCCCAGGGGCCCTATGAGTTGTCAGTCCGCCCCTGGGTACGACAGGGAATTCAGCAAAGGACTAGAATGATCTCTGCTGGAGATAGTTTGATCTGTGTAATAACAGGTCCCTTAAGTGAGAAGTGAATATCAGGATAGAGCCCTATTTTGAACAGGGAAAAGTAAGTGTTTCCCCATCAGA